CTAACCCTGTATTTCATTTAATGGGCTTTATCATTTAGAACATTTTCAATTAAAAAGATTGTGTCTATCACAAACGGTTTTCAATTTATAATCATTTGAAAATTTAAAAAAATAAAATCCCATAGGGTTCTATAGTAAAACCCTCTTTTCTTTTTGCCCCTCAAAGTACCCCTTTATAAACCCCATTGCACAAACAAAACCCTGATTGTACCACTAGACATGTTAGTCTAACATATAAAGAAACCCTAAGTTAATCTGACAAGTGGTTTTGGAGAACTGGTGCGGACAAGTTCAAATTTAAAAGCGGCGGAAGAAGAAGAAGAAGAAGAAGAATAATAATAATAAGAACTGAGCAAAAACAATAAGTCTTCCCAAACTTCGTTTGGGAGACTTAATAAACAATTCACCAAAGTTTTTGCAAATTGGTGAAATTGTTTTTGAGTTATGGTCCGAGGACACAGTTATCGTCCTTTGATTTTCGTTGTCTACAAATATAGCCCCTAGTGTGGACAGTGTATAACTTGCAAATTTTTTTCATACACTTTCCAAATTTATTTCTTTATATTTTATGCATGAAATATTAAGTAAGGGGTTGAAATTACATGTTAAAAAAATTTGGGTGCTGAATCTTTATGTTAAGTAGTGATTAGGTCCAGTTTAAAAAGGTCAAAAATTAGTATGTCTGAAGCTGTCAAACTGAGTTTTAGATGCCCTTAACATAGAATTGTCAATATTTTGAGTTAGAGCTGGTAGACTTTTCTATAATTTTGATATTATTTGTTCCAATAGTAGTACACTACACTGTAAATATCTTTTTGAGATAGAGCTGGTGTGATTTTTTTAATTTGACTTTATTGTCTAAAAGAAATGCACTACGAAATAACTGTGTTCTCGGGCCTAAGAGATGAATTCAGGAAATGTAGATTCTGTACTTTGGCAACATCCCTGAACGGTTTGCTGGTTTCAATTTGTCAAACTCAATAAAAGTAAAGGATTTACATCTTTATTTGAAAGAAATTCTGTTAAAATGTCCCATTTTGACATTATACGGCTAAAATAAGCATTTTGAAGCGGTTTCCATTTTTAAGCCTAAGAGGCATGCTGACTTTCTATCTGTCAGCTTTTTATGCTTTGATATTTGTGTTTCTATGATTAATTCAAATTCTATTAACCATTTGTGAACTCTGAATATAGAGAAAAGTAGATTATCACAGAAAAAAATGTGCAAAATGTGTTGTATTTAGGCCCTGGTAGAACGGCCTGTTTAATGTATGTTCAATGTGAAGAGCTTTGTACATAGAGTGTGTAGTCCATCATAAAAATTTCACTAAATCTGTAAAAAAAAGCACTTGACAATGATCTGTGCACCTTATCCATTTCATATACTGCCCTTATTTTCTTCTGTAGGATAGTATGTGGTTCAAATATATGCCAGTTGAGACTAAAACTACATGCAAGTTTTCCATTGAAAAGTGAAAAAACTGTGCATCAGACCATACTGTCTGCAAAAAAAGTTGAATGCAAGAGTCCTTTTGCAATTAGACTTCTTGTATCATGACATCTTAGCATAGAAATGAGCAAAAAGTAACAAATTTTCATTTCTTATAGCTTCTGTATGCATTTTTATATGTAAATATGTGCTACAGCCTAAATTGACACTAAATAATGTTCAGTCTTACATAGCCTTAGACCATTTTATACTCATTTGGTATGCTTTTTGTAACTTTTCTTTCCATTTAAAGTACATTTAATATATATGAAAGAATAATTTATGGTAAAAAACTTCAAAAACTTCAAATTGGTTGAAAAAAATGCATGTTTATGTAAGGCTCCCCCTTAATTCGAAAATCTATATTTTCAGGCACAGGCTCATATAAATTTGACTTTTGAATAATTGTAACAAATCTGATAAATCAAATGAGTGTTCATTGTCTTTTAATACTTAATATATTATATTTAAGAGCATTTCAAAAGCAAATTTTTGCAATATTTAAATTTTTTAAGCCCAAATCTTGATAGTTGAAATTATTTGATTTAAACGTCAAAATTAAACATTCAAATTTCAATATTAAAATTGCCATAGTTTCTATAATATATATCCTACATGTATGGCCATGAAACTTGGAAAAATATCTTATAATTGCCTAAGCTTAGGTCATGCAAAGTTTAATTAGAATTGGTCAAGTCTTTCTATACTATTAGGTCCGAGGACACAGTTATCATCCTTCGATTTTCGTTGTCTACAAATATAGCCCCTAGTGTGGACAGTGTATAACTTGCAAATTTTTTTCATACACTTTCCAAATTTCTTTCTTTATATTTTATGCATGAAATATTAAGTAAGGGGTTGAAATTACATGTTAAAAAAATTGGGTGCTGAATCTTTATGTTAAGTAGTGATTAGGTCCAGTTTAAAAAGGTCAAAAATTAGTATGTCTGAAGCTGTCAAACTGAGTTTTAGATGCCCTTAACATAGAATTTCAATTATTAGAATTGTCAATATTATGAGTTAGAGCTGGTAGACTTTTCTATAATTTTGATATTATTTGTTCCAATAGTAGTACACTACACTGTAAATATCTTTTTGAGATAGAGCTGGTGTGATTTTTTTAATTTGACTTTATTGTCTAAAAGAAATGCACTACGAAATAACTGTGTTCTCGGGCCTAAGAGATGAATTCAGGAAATGTAGATTCTGTACTTTGGCAACATCCCTGAACGGTTTGCTGGTTTCAATTTGTCAAACTCAATAAAAGTAAAGGATTTACATCTTTATTTGAAAGAAATTCTGTTAAAATGTCCCATTTTGACATTATACGGCTAAAATAAGCATTTTGAAGCGGTTTCCATTTTTAAGCCTAAGAGGCATGCTGACTTTCTATCTGTCAGCTTTTTATGCTTTGATATTTGTGTTTCTATGATTAATTCAAATTCTATTAACCATTTGTGAACTCTGAATATAGAGAAAAGTAGATTATCACAGAAAAAAATGTGCAAAATGTGTTGTATTTAGGCCCTGGTAGAACGGCCTGTTTAATGTATGTTCAATGTGAAGAGCTTTGTACATAGAGTGTGTAGTCCATCATAAAAATTTCACTAAATCTGTAAAAAAAAGCACTTGACAATGATCTGTGCACCTTATCCATTTCATATACTGCCCTTATTTTCTTCTGTAGGATAGTATGTGGTTCAAATATATGCCAGTTGAGACTAAAACTACATGCAAGTTTTCCATTGAAAAGTGAAAAAACTGTGCATCAGACCATACTGTCTGCAAAAAAAGTTGAATGCAAGAGTCCTTTTGCAATTAGACTTCTTGTATCATGACATCTTAGTATAGAAATGAGCAAAAAGTAACAAATTTTCATTTCTTATAGCTTCTGTATGCATTTTTATATGTAAATATGTGCTACAGCCTAAATTGACACTAAATAATGTTCAGTCTTACATAGCCTTAGACCATTTTATACTCATTTGGTATGCTTTTTGTAACTTTTCTTTCCATTTAAAGTACATTTAATATATATGAAAGAATAATTTATGGTAAAAAACTTCAAAAACTTCAAATTGGTTGAAAAAAATGCATGTTTATGTAAGGCTCCCCCTTAATTCGAAAATCTATATATTCAGGCACAGGCTCATATAAATTTGACTTTTGAATAATTGTAACAAATCTGATAAATCAAATGAGTGTTCATTGTCTTTTAATACTTAATATATTATATTTAAGAGCATTTCAAAAGCAAATTTTTGCAATATTTAAATTTTTTAAGCCCAAATCTTGATAGTTGAAATTATTTGATTTAAACGTCAAAATTAAACATTCAAATTTCAATATTAAAATTGCCATAGTTTCTATAATATATATCCTACATGTATGGCCATGAAACTTGGAAAAATATCTTATAATTGCCTAAGCTTAGGTCATGCAAAGTTTAATTAGAATTGGTCAAGTCTTTCTATACTATTAGGTCCGAGGACACAGTTATCATCCTTCGATTTTCGTTGTCTACAAATATAGCCCCTAGTGTGGACAGTGTATAACTTGCAAATTTTTTTCATACACTTTCCAAATTTCTTTCTTTATATTTTATGCATGAAATATTAAGTAAGGGGTTGAAATTACATGTTAAAAAAATTGGGTGTTGAATCTTTATGTTAAGTAGTGATTAGGTCCAGTTTAAAAAGGTCAAAAATTAGTATGTCTGAAGCTGTCAAACTGAGTTTTAGATGCCCTTAACATAGAATTGTCAATATTTTGAGTTAGAGCTGGTAGACTTTTCTATAATTTTGATATTATTTGTCCCAATAGTAGTACACTACACTGTAAAAATCTTACTGAGATAGAGCAGGTGCGATTTTTTTAATTTGACTTTATTGTCTAAAAGAAATGCACTACGAAATAACTGTGTTCTCTGGCCTTATTGTCTGAAAACTGGAAAATCCCCCCTTTTTTAATGAATAAAACCCCAAAACTCGGAAACGGTAAATCTGAAATTTATAAAAAAATGAAAGGGAGCTCACGTCAATAGATATGAACAATTCACAAAAGTTTCATGTAAATTGGTGAAATTTTTTTTGAGTCATTGTCCGAAAACTGGAAAATCCCCCTTTTTTAATGAATAAAACCCCAAAACTCGGAAACGGTAAATTCGAAATTTATAAAAAAACAAAGGGAGCTCACGTCAATAGATATGAACAATTCACAAAAAGATTCATGCAAATTGGTGAAATTGTATTTGAGTTATTGTCCGAAAACTGGAAAATTCCCCCTTTTTTAATGAATAAAACCCCAAAACTCGGAAATGGTAAATCTGAAATTTATAAAATACAAAAGGGAGCTCACGTCAATAGATATAAACAATTCACCAAAGTTTCATGCATATTGGTGAAAGCGTTTTTGAATTAATGTCAGACCTGTTGACGACGGACGGACAACGGTATACCTTAATAAGTCCTGTAAACGGGCGTATAAAAATCACAAAAACACAAACATCAGCTAGTACAGGAGACATTTTTTTTAATGATCCCATCCATGTGAATTTGACACTTCACTGACATGATCCCTAACTGTTCTATCTAGGACAGTGTAAACATCTTTACAACTTTTCACTGCTAAGTCAATCACCTTACTTAGATTGTCCTCATGAAGCCTAGAATTCTGTTCAAGAAAAACTATCTGGTCAGATTTTGGTAGTGTTGCAACAATTAATTCTGGTCCACCAGATGATTCTTCAAGATAGTTTATATCAGCAATAGGATTATCATTCACAAAACTTGCTGAACAAGCACAAACAAAGTCTTTCATTGGAATACCAGCATCGATAAGAGCAAGAGTAGCAGCATTTACACTAGCACAATAATTTCCACCATCAGATTGGAGCACTTCAACAAAAATGTCAATCTGTGATCGTGGATATAAATTTGTCATGATTGCTGCATCAAATGTTTGTTTTAAATGCATTGTCATTTCTTGTGATTTTCTGTCACCTCTTGGTCGACGCTTCCTCTCCCCAGTACTAAAGGTAGCCATGCTGTATTGACAATTTACCAATACTCTGTCAAGTAATAGCTTTGCTCTGCTCCCTCTGATTTCATGTGGACCATAGACTGTGGCAAGTACTTTTGTATTTCCTTGTTCAATGTATGCTGATCCATCTGCTTGCTTGAATACACCTTAAAAGAGAAAAAAATATGTTATGTTAAATAATGACATACATGTACAAGTTAAAAAAATCCTGAAACTTCCAACTTAAAAAGTAAAATCACAAAAATACTGAACTCCGAGGAAAATTCAAAAAGGAAAGTCCCCAATCAAATGGCAAAATCAAAAAAACAAACACATCAAACGAATGGATAACAACTGTCATATTCCTGACTTGGTACAGGCATTTTCTTATGCAGAAAATGGTGGATTGAACCTGGTTTTAAACCAGCATTGATTCATATTGAAAATTGTATCATTACGTTGACCTTTTCCTGTTATTTTGTTGTTGTCATTTGAATGTTGTCTCAATAGCATATACCCAACAACTCCTTTTATCCATCTCTTCAAGGGATATGTGTAGTTTAAGAAGTAATCACAAGCTTATTGTCCTAAAGATGGTAAGAAGAGTTGGGCCTTTAAAACCAACTTACCAAAAGTCTAGTACATGCATACTTGTTTCATGTATTTAGTCAAAATGCATCTTTCACCGGATAGATTTCTGACATGGGTCCAACTTATTTGACTGTTGTTTGGTTAACTTCCTGTAGGCAACTAAAAAAATTATCATACAGACCATAGTTTTAAGCTGAAAAAATGTCAACCACTGGAAAAGAAAGTGTGCATTTACATGAGACAAAAATTCCAAGAAATAACCAATATGTCAAAGAAAAAGAACTTTTTGATGTTTTTCATCATCACATTTTTAAGTGGTACAAGTTATTATATAAGTGGGGCCATACAGGTGAAAAGGGGGAGGCAAGTTGGCAGAAGGGCAACTTGTCCTGTTCCAATACACAATTTAGGTGATTGGTTCACTAATTACTTGAGGGCTCAGAGTCTGGAGCTGTCTCTGATTTGTCCTTAAAGAGATCATAGGGCGGCCTTATCAGAAAACCACTCCAGAGGCAGAATCTCAAAAGAGATTATTAATTTATGGTCTAAACTGTATAAAAGATACTGTTTTTATATGTGTATGTTAGGCCAAAAAAAAAATATATGTCTGTTTAAGGTTACATACTTTAATAAATTGCTTCGCTGAGCTCAGCTGTATACATGTATGACCGCAGATGTCCAACCCTGAAAAGTTGGGGCCAAAATGGACACAATATTCATGCTTGATACAGGTCTGAATTTGGATTGTAATTAAATTTTTGACACATAATAGGTTTCTGACACAGAATAACTGTCGTCAAAGAACTTCAAATTTGTTATATGATTTGAATTTATATTCAATTTTTTGCTTTTGTGCAATACACTATGCGAATTGACCCCCCCCCAAAAAAAAAATTTTTACCCCGTTTTTTGGCGTTTGTGCAATACACTATGCTGTTGAATATTAACCCCCCCCCCCCAAAAAAAAAAATTTGAAGAAATTTTCTTTTAATTTCTGAAATCTGAAATGAGAAAAATTATCCCCCTCCAATTTTTTTCACCCTCCCCCTTTCCCTTATTCCAAAAAATAATTCTTTCCCTCAAGTTATGGTCAGTATCTCAGACAATCATCATTTCTTAATACATAATTTACAAGCAGTGTAAGGGTGGTAATCAAACATTGTTATTTAAATTGATTTGGATTACCTCCCTTACACTGCTTTTAAATTGTCTCAATTGTTCTTTAACAAGAAAAACCCTTGTTTTTCCCTTTTTTTTTGCCCCTAATTCCTAAATGGTTTGAGCCATAACCCCCGAAGTCAATCCTAACCATACCTTTGTAGTATGGAAACTTGTGGTATAATTTCAGAGAGATTCATACACTTTAACACAAGTTATTGTCTGGAAACTACAAAAATGCTTTTTTGGGACCCTTTTTTAGCCCCTTATTCCTAAACAGTTGGGACCATGACCCCCAAAATCAATCCCAACCTTCCTTTAGTGGTTATAAACCTTGTGTTAAAATTTTATTGATTTCTATTTACTTATACTTAAGTTATTATCCGGAAACCATCTGTCGCAATTCCGAACGTTTTGAAATAGGAAAAATCCGTAGCTCTATGGTCCGCAAATAGTAAAAAAATAACATAAGGACCTAAGAGCTACGGTTCCGCAGCTACTGTGTGTATAGCTCTCTGTGTGTCCAAAACCATAAGTGAATAATTAGTATGCCTTAGTACTGACTATATGTTACGCCTACTATTTATAATATAATTTTTGTTATTAAAGAAGAGGGACGAAAGATACCAGAGGGACAGTGAACACAGAAAACATATACATCTATACTATTGATCTGCAGTGGAAATCCATAACATAAGGCCACTTGTGATTCAATCATCTCACACGAGGTCCGTCAAATGTGTAAATTATTAACCTAATTTGCACTGGATTCGTCTTAATTCATTTGGTTTTCTGCCATCTATTCTAAAGCCTTGATCTGACAAGAGATTCAATCCTGCCATGTTCCCAAATTTACATGTGCTTCCGGCATGGAAATTGAACTTGACAATTGTAAAAGACGTTTTGATTGGTTGAAAGCAAAATATCATCTAATCGATAAAGACTTTACATTTCAAACTCGGATTTCTCCTCAAGATGGCGGGAGGGGATAAAATTCTCTTCCCTCACGAAATATCTAGTTATAATGCGCTAAGTTGGTCGGAAGATGGCACAGTAGCAATTGCTACAGATAACGGAGTTTTACTTTTGGTAAGGTGTTTCAGTAAATATGGGTTTTCTACTTGCATATATTGAGGGTCGTCTGAAACAAGGATTTGTATAGTAAGATCCTTACTATATTATACAAATCCTTGGCTGATAACTAAACTTTACTACAACTGATAATTTCTATTTTCGATTTGTATAGTAAGATCCTTGGCTGAAGACTAAACTTTACTACAACTGATGATTTCTATTTTCCTATTGTGAATTTTCCATTTCTCTGTATCAAAATTCCAAACGGTAACATCAGCACTTCTGCATGGAGTTTATGTACATGAACATCACGCTAATATGATAGACCACGGCTTGCTTGCTTGAAGCCTGAAGGTATCTGCGGATCTGTAGCTCTTAGGTCCTCATGATATTTTTTGACAAATTGCAGCCACATGACAAATTTGTACATTTGTAGAGGACAAGATCTGCAAAGTTGTCATGTGGCCGAAATTGTTAGCACTGAAATGATGATTATCACTTTTTTGGCCTTTTGGTTTATTATCTGAAAAACTATAATAGATTAAGAGAACATCAAATCGCAAAAATGATCATGAGGACATAATTTGTTATAATGACCAAAATCATTGGTTGACTCCTTGTAGGAGTTATTGCCCGTAAATGATGATTTTTTTACCAATTTATGCATTTTCAGCCTAACATATAGATAAAGAAAAACTGAAAATAGCAAAAATTACCAACAGGACAACATCTGCAAATTTGTTAGGAGGGGATAAATTGTTGGCAGGGGCAGATCCAGTCATTTTTAAAAGGGGGTTCCAACCATATGTCCACATTCAAAAGCATTGATCGTCAAAAAAAGGGGGGGTTCCAGTGCCCGGTAAACCCCCCCCTGGATCCGTCACTGGTCAGGTTTACTCCTTATTGGGCATTTCTGGGGTTATTGCCTGCAGTAAATGATGATTTTTACCAATTGTATAATTATCCAAAACTCTAGTAGAAAAAAAAATTGTTAAAAAAAATTATCAGCAAAATAAGATCTGCAAATATATCAGTTGGCTGAAATTGCAGGTTTAGGTAATAAAGGGCACGACACTAAGATTATTTTTTAATGTCTTTTTCACACAAAATTTACCTGTAAATGGCTGTTTTAGGTTGCACTTCATGGTTTAAATTTTTTTGTAACTTCCTCTTAAGACATGTATTAGTCCTAGATTCATTTCATTAGAAAAGTTCATATTTAGCAGTTAATGTATAAAAGAAAGGCAAAAGATACAAAAGGGTCATTCAAACTCAAAAGTCGAAAATAAACCGACAACGCCATGTCAAAAAAAGAAAAAGAAAAACAGACAAACAACAGTACACAAAACACAACATAGAAAAACTAAAGATTGAGCAACAGGAACTCCACCAAAAACTGGGGTTGATCTCAGGAGCTCTGGAAGGGTAAGCAGATCCTACTCAGTATGCAAGCACTGCTAGAATGTTGCTAAATAGAAATGGAAAGTTCACAATTGGGAAGCTGAAATCATCTCTTTTGTCGTAAAGTTTTGTTTTCATCCTACCCTCATTGTCAATTTCAAAAATGTACACAAGAAGATGTAAGCATTATAAGAGGGTAATGTTAATATCATAGTAAAATAGCAATGGTAAGCATGGTAAGTGTGTAAAACTTTTTGATTGTCAGAAACTTTCATTTTAAAGAATGTTTGGTAATTTTTAGCATGTTTATAATTAGGGGGAATCTAAAATAACTCGTAAAAACTCAAAATTGATTTTTTTTTCAAAAACCATCAGATTTCCTGAGATTTTTACTTGTTTTCTCTAGCTTTTCTAAAAGTATCTTAAATTTCATTAATATGTTACACACATGATACAGTCAAACCTGTTTTAAAGCTCTTTATATATATATATATATAATTAAGTTTTAAGCGAGAAGCTGTTTTTGCAGGTCACCTTCTGATATTCCCACTGTAGTAAAAACTATGCATTTTGAACCTCAAGTAAAATGTCACCTCTCTTGTAAGGTCATGTACGTGTGATGGTCAGTTTTCTTTGGTCCCAAGTGTGACTTTATATACAGGTTTGACTGTATATATATATATATATATATATATATATATATATATATATATATATATATATATATATATATATATATAAAGGATTAAAACATGGTTTTTAAAACAAAAGCTACTGTTAAAGGGGCATTAGCTGCCAAATTCATGTTCACCCATTTGACTCAAAATCTTATATTTGATTAATAACCTACTAAAACGTATATCAAACTTACAAAAAGTCTAAAATGAACAATTAACAATGCATGGACTCGATAATATGTATCCGCATTTCGTGTGTATTTTTAGTGTAGTCCATCTAATTAACCATCGAGGTGACCTCTACAGACTGTCGACAGTCATATAACCCGACTTAAACATAGATATAGATATATAAATAGATAGCGAAGACATGCAATTGGATTTTTCTAATTAAGTCTCCCAAACAAAGTTTGGGAAGACTTATTGTTTTTGCTCAGTTCTTATTATTATTATTATTCTTCTTCCTCTTCCTCTTCCTCTTCCGCCGCTTTTAAATTTGAACTTGTCCGCACCCGTTCTCCAAAACCGCTTGTCAGATTACCTTAGGGTTTCACAATATGTTAGACTAACATGTCTAGTGGTGCAATCAGGGTTTTGTTTGTGCAATGGGGTTTATAAAGGGGTACTTTGAGGGGCAAAAAGAAAAGAGGGTTTTACTATAGAACCCTATGGGATTTTATTTTTTTAAATTTTCAAATGATTATAAATTGAAAACCGTTTGTGATAGACACAATCTTTTTAATTGAAAATGTTCTAAATGATAAAACCCATTAAATGAAATACAGGGTTAGTCCCCAGGGGTCATCCCGACCCCCTGCCATTTGAGAAAGTTCTAATATCTTGTAAATGGGCGAGATCCCCACCCCTAAACCATATATATTCTGGTTTGTCATGATAAAGCACATGAAATGAAATACAGGGTTAGTCCCCAGGGGTCACCCCCACCCCATGCCATTTAAGAAAGTTCTAATATCTTGTAAGTGGTCAAGATCCCCACCCCTAAACCAAATATATTCTGGTTTGTCATGCTAAGATGGTTTGAATGATATACAGGGTTAGTCCCCAGGGGTCATCCCGACCCCCTGCCATTTGAGAAAGTTTTAATATCTTGTAAATGGTCGAGATCCCAACCCCTAAACCATATATATTCTGGTTTGTCATTCTAAAATGGTTTGAATGATATACAGGGTTAGTCCCCAGGGGTCATCCCGACCCCCTGCCATTTGAGAAAGTTCTAATATCTTGTAAATGGTCGAGATCCCCACCCCTAAACCATATATATTCTGGTTTGTCATGATAAAGCACATCAAATGAAATACAGGGTTAGTCCTCAGGGGTCACCCCCACCCCCTGCCATTTAAGAAAGTTCTAATGTAAGTGGTTAAGATCCCCACCCCTAAACCATATATATTCTGGTTTGTCATGCTATGATGGTTTGAATGATATACAGGGTTAGTCCCCAGGGGTCATCCCGACCCCCTGCCATTTGAGAAAGTTCTGATATCTTGTAAATGGTCGAGATCTCCACCCCTAAACCATATATATTCTGGTTTGTCATGATAAAGCACATCAAATGAAATACAGGGTTAGTCCCCCAGGGGTCACCCCCACCCCCTGCCATTTAAGAAAGTTCTAATATCTTGTAAGTGGTCAAGATCCCCACCCCTAAACCATATATATTCTGGTTTGTCATGCGAAGATGGTTTGAATGATATACAGGGTTAGTCCCCAGGGGTCACCCCCAGCCCCTTCTATTTAAGAAAGTTCTAATATCTTGTAAGTGGTCAAGATCCCCACCCCTAAACCATATATATTCTGGTTTGTCATACCAAGATGGTTTGAATGATATACAGGGTTAGTCCCCAGGGGTCATCCCCACCCCCTGCTATTTAAGAAAGTTCTAATATCTTGTAAGTGGTCAAGATCCCCACCCCTAAACTATATTTATTCTGGTTTGTCATACCAAGATGGTTTGAATGATATACAGGGTTAGTCCCCAGGGGTCATCCCGACCTCCTGCCATTTGAGAAAGTTCTAATATCTTGTAAATGGTCGAGATCCCCACCCCTAAACCATATATATTCCTGTTCATCATGTCTCGAACATTTGAATGACTTATACGGTCAGTCCCCACTGGGTTCCCCCCACCCCCAATGTTCTAATATCTTGTAAATTGTCGAGATCCCCACCCCTAGACCATATATATTCCTGTTCGTCGTTTCTCGAACATTTGAATGATGTATAGGGTCAGTCCCCAGGGGTTCCCCCCACCCCCAATGTTCTAGTATCTTGTAAATAGTCGAGATCCCCACCCCTAAACCATATATATTCTGGTTTGTCATGCCAAGATGATTTGAATGATATACAGGGTTAGTCCCCAGGCATCACTAATGCATTAACTTTACTGGACCAAACCAATTTTCACTGGACTTTGTTCAATGTCAAGCGACACTGGGAATTACGAATTATGGGAGCTTCGTTTGGGAGACTTCGTAACAGCATCCTGTTACAATCATTTCTTGTTCTGTTTGATTTCATGTTATAGGTTAGACAAATACATGTATGTTAATCATCATTTTTACCTGTGTATAAGAATGAGTTTTGTGGATCGAATCAGTCAACCAAATGGTTTACTCTTGTTTCACTTTCAATGTTGACATTCTTTACCTTTTAATAGCTGAACATGCCTAGTTCATGCATAACCCATCTCTAGCTAAGGGGTGA